GTGTGTGTGTGTGTGTGTGTGTGTGTGTGTGTGTGTGTGTGTGTGTGATTGTTCTAAAAGAAGGAAAAGAGGATAAGGAGAAAGGAAAAATAGACAAAGGTAGACATTTAAGAGAAACTGTTCTTGAGTAGGGGTGGAGACAGAGAGATGGGAAAAGGGGAGGAAGGAGGAAGGGAGAGAGAAAGAGAATGAGTGAGAGAGATTAGAAACAAGAAAAACCAAGATACAGAGACAGAGAAATGAGAATTGGCAGTGAAAAGGGAGGAGTTTCTGGGAAAGAAGTGGGCTCATGAAACAGAAGAGGAAACTGAACAGAACTGAGGAAAGATAAAAGTAGAAAAGGAGTGAGAGGTCAGTAACAGACTGAAGGGGGAACAGAGGTGAGACAGTGGGAGAAAAGGAACTAAGTCCAAAGGTAGGAAAACAGAGGTAGCTCGGGGGCCAGGGGGAGCCAACTGTGTCATTAAAACACTAAGTGGAAGAAGGGCACAGTCCGTTTACAACCTCAAGAAGACCCTCCTGGGTACCTCTGATGACTAATCAAGCAGAGTCATCTTAAGGAAATGACGTGTCAATCAAAGAAAGCATTACTACATGGAATCCAACATCACACCCCATAAATCCCGGTATCAGCTTAGAGAAGTACTTGGAATTCCAATTTCAGGACACACGGGGTCATTTCCAAATGAATTCTCTGTTTTTAAAAAGCCATATACGTTTGCTCCCTACCTAGCTTCTCCCAAACAAACTAACCGGCCCCTTACCAAGCAACAAGGTCCCCACAGAATCAGTCTACTACGGTGTTGTCGGCCTAGAACAATGATGCTCAAGGGGTTTATCTTGGACTGGAGTACAAGACCCCTGTTGCAGTATCTTTGTATTCTCCTGGGGGCTTAGCCTGCTACCTTACATGCAGCAGAAAATGCCCCGGAAGCAACGAACGCAGCTAGGCAGCAAGATGGGCTGATGGCTGTCACACATTGCCGATCAAGTTTCTGTCATTTCTGACAGGACTGGCAGAGGCCATCAGTGCTGCAGTCTGTTGCTCAGTGACTTATTTTTTTAACTTTCTCTCTCACACACCCTTTGTGCCCTTCAGTACCTTTTGTTCATCTGTTTACTCTCTAGCCAGTTTTTTGGGGGAACCAACACTAGGCCTCCAAGACTGTTCAATAGCCAAGCTTCTGAGAAAGCAGAGGATCCCAGCCTTCCCTCCTCTTGATGACCGTGACACCAGTGTGCAGCTCTGCCTGCGTATCTGTCACCCCAATACTAGCCACGTCCGGGCCAACTCATAGCGTCACAAGCAGAGGAGTCAGAAATCAGTATTTTTCAAAGACAGCTGGTAAATTCCAATGTGTAGCCCAAAGTGCAAACGAACGTATTGGTCAAGTGGTTCACAGACTGGGGCGGGTCTCAAAGACACCATCGGACTCCTTACAACTCGGGCTGCTAGGCTGCATCTAGAAGAGATTCTGTCAGCTGATATGGAGTAGGGAATCTGCACTTCAGAAAGGTCCTCAGGTGATGCCAATGGGCCTGGCTCACTGAGCACACCTTTGGACTGCTATGGTTGAGAAAGTAAGGCACCCTGGCAGCGTCAGCTACATCATCACAGGCCTCACTGGAGATACAAGGTTTATGTCTAGCTATGTTTGGTACTGAAACATAGAAAAATCTCACCTGTCAAAATCACAATCGAGATGGGATGGGGTAAACAAAAGAAAAATACTGTTTTTTGTCTTAGTTTTCCAAAATGTTTTATCCATGAAGGTTTCGTGTGGCCAGTAAAGAACAAGGAAGGAATGACAGATACTGATAGCAAAGCAGAGAAGCATTCTTCTCCTCCCTGCTGCTCCTGGACTGCTGACAACGGAAAAACCACAGCTTACATCAAAGAAGGTGCCTGCATGCTCCAGGATCAGCTGGTTGGAATCAGGCTTGTTTTTACAGTAGGTGACATACATCTGAAATTTGTCCGCCTAAAAAAGAACAAAGACAACAAAAGGTAAGCGCCCATCGGTTCCTCCCTGTCTTAGTCAGGGTTTCTACTGTTGTGATAAGATGCCATGACTGAACACAAGTTAGAAGGAAAAAAAAAAAATTTTTTTTTTTTTAGATCTTATATCTTGTAGTCCATCATCCATGAAGTCAGGGCAGGAACTGACCCAGAAGCCATGGAGGAAGGCTGCTGACTGGCTGCTCCTCATGGCTTGATTAGCCTGCTCTCTTCTAGCACCCGGGATCACTAGCCCAGGGGTGGAACTGCTCACGGTGAGGTTAGCTCTCCCACATCAATCATCAATCAAGAAAATGCCCCCAGGCTTGTCCACAGACAAACCTGGTAGGAGCATTTTCTCAACCAGGGTTCTCTCTCCTCAAATGACTCCAGCTAGTGCTAGAGTTGATATAAAGCTAGCTGTTACATGCACTTTCTTCACAGGGCCTAAAAGTCCCCGCATGTGCTGTATAGCATCTGAGTTCCTATGGAAAGTATTACGATACTTTCCCCTCAGCCAGTGGTCCTAACAGACTCTGGAATATTTTTCTCCCAGTGGAATGTAGGAAAGCCTACTGAATGGAAGCTCAGTTTTATACCCAGCTGTGCTGGAAAGAAAGAAAAAATGGAAAAAATGTTCTGAAGTTAGGTAGAACTTACTAATCAACTATTCTCACTTTAAATCACCAATAATTATGTTGTCTCTCTTGAAAAAGAACAAAGGCCACCTGTCCTCTTTTAAGACAAATACAGCAACAGAGTGAAAGATGAACAAAATGCTTAGAGCGAGGTCTAGTTATATTTCAAATGCCTCCAACTAGAGGGAGTTAAGGAGCCTGTTAACACCTCTAGCTTCCTAGGAGTGATGGTGGGGGTCAGGCAGAAGGAAGGGACTGGGTGTCCCACTGTTAAGGTCTGAACAGTGATTCCCAAAGAGATGTTAGTTACCTCAAGCCCAAAGACCCATGTTTGGGTGAAAATTCACTTATTTCTCTTAGGACCTCACCTCTCCACTGAGAAAGGTAAATTTTGGTGACTAAGTGTTTTTTTCATTGGTGAACCACTGTCTATTTCCATGTCTTTTGAACACCTGAGAGGGCAATGCAGAATGAACTTATGACAGATTTCCCTGCCCTGACTTAAGTGTTATGTGTATTTCATCACTTGCTCCTCAAGCCACCCCTAGACAGTGAGGTTTAGAGCTACTCTCATCTTGCATGAGGAAACTGTGACACAGGCTGCTTAAGTGACTTTAAATTCCCATAGTTAAAAGTGGTGAAGCCCAAGGCAACCAGGCCTCTTAGTTTTAGCCAGCGCCACTCAACATATTGTAAGTGGGTCTTTTGACTCTTCATTTCTGTCCTGCACTTATATACAGACGGTTACTCTTAGGAAAAATCTCCTTGAGATTATTCTTGGCAAAAGGTGTCTAATTTACCCAATGACCAAAGGTTTTCTGAATCAAATTTTAGGGGCTTTATACTATTTAGGAGTCATTATCACTAAGAGATGATAAACCTTGCCTGTAGTAACACAAACTATTCCCTTTTCTTGATGTTCAGTCTTGCCTTTCTCTATATTGGCAGTGCAAGGGATCATAAATTATTTTTATCAGCATCTTTATGAGCTATGCATCAGCTCACACACTGGCACAAAATTAGACAGCAGCCCGAGACTTTGTGAGAAGCAGAAATATGCTTAGAGGAAAACTCTTAAGAGTTCACGAAAAGAAGACCTGTCTGGGAATTGGGTCCTGAGCTGTAGGGATGGCTACACGATAGTGGATGTTCTGCCTCTTATCTACGATATAATCAGATCTGAAATCTAAAACATACCCACAGGCCTGTCTACTCCTCGGCATAAGCTCTCCAGAGTGTGAAGAAATTCCGAAAGGTCATTCTGGATACAGATTAGCACTAAGTAATTGTAATTCCAGAGCAGAATTTCTGGCCTGGGCAGGATGTGTAGTTGAATTTGGTGTCATAAGTGGGCTTCCAGAGTTCTCTGAATTGATGTCTTTGAGCCTGAGCTCAGAAGGGTGCGCAGTGGGGATGCTACTGAAGGTTAATCTTTCAGTTTAAGTGAGTGGAACCTGGTACATTTGGCTTGCTGACTCTGCCCAAGTCAACAGCAGTGAGAATGAGGTACACCCTCATCCTGTAAGTTAAAATTGGGATGGAGAGCTCAGGATTCTGTTCTTCTCTATTTAGAAAAACAAGTGTAACCAATAATTAGACAGATGCTGTCTGCAAGTTCTATCTTCAAAATCTATGACTTGAAAAAGCAACTGGTGGCCTGGGCTGCTGCAGGGGCAGGGGTCTTGTCCCACTCTGCTGATGTCCTCATTTTAGAAAGCTCTTAGAGAGTTAGAGGTGGGCCTTGGGCTTGGCTGATGTCACCATCCCAGGCACGGCTCTGCTCTCTAGAGAGGGACTGCCTTTCATACATCTACCTGTGGTACCTCCGCAGCACCTGGTCCCAAGAGAAGCAGGTGGTAACGGAAATCCTCAGGGCAGGCATGGGGCACTGGCTCCAGGCGTACCCCTGGACACAGGGACAGCAGGGGAGGGGTTTAGGTTGGTTACCCAGGTGACAAAGCAGTGTCCAACATCCTCAGGCAGCTGCTCGTACTTCTCCAGCTCTTTGAGGAAGATGCTGTGAAGGGAGAGAAAGGCTGCATCAGACACCTTGGAAAGGAGAACCCCACTTAGAGGACCGTGCTGTGTTCAACCCAGCAACCATGGCCCAGTTACATGTGGATGCTGTGCTTTGCAAATGAGGTGAGGAGCTAGCTTTATGTTGGAACGTATTCAATGTAAATGTACGGTAATTGACTAATTAGTGCTGCTTAAACCTGTGCCCCTGACAGAGGTTCATGAATTTGAGCTGAAAATAGATAATGAAATACTGTAGCTCTAGCAGACCTTTAATTTTATCAGCAATTCTGAATTTATTTTTTTAATCCACTACTATGAGGACACTGTAAATACTACACACACACACACACACACATACACACACAAACCAAAATGAATCTAAAGATGAGCTGGAAAAAAGTTCAGACTTTTATGGGTCTCTTTATAACTTTCAGCCTTCTTCTTCCACTGAGAGCGAGTATTGTCATAACGATATTATTAGGGAAGAAAATCTAATGGCAGGGAGGAGGGGAAATCACAGTATATTTTAAAGTGGAATGGAATTACTGGCTTCTCTGACATTGTGGGTGTCTAAGTCATGGTTCCTTTCTATGCTATCAAATTATAAAGAAATGACTGCACTGACTTCAAATTAATATATGAAACAATAAGGATAGACTTTGAGGCTGTAAGTTCTAACATGCCAGCATTATTGGGATAAAATCTGCTTTTTAAAACATACCTCAGATCTTTAAACAAAAGGTAATTATGAGGCCTGAGGGAAGCTTACTTCTGGGAGTGGGAAATGATGTAGTCTTCACAGAGAACAATTTGATAGAACCATCAAAGTCTCAGAAGGTACTCATCTTTTCCGGGGCCTGGGAATTTTCCCTTATAGCTTATCTATCTGCATAAGGTGGTATATATTCCCGAGCGCTAATAATGATAGCATTTGTAATGGCAAATGGGGATGGCAGAGAACAAAATCCTTGGCTATGGAATGGCCACGGAACTGACTACTTTGACTACTTTGCTGCCACCACCACGCACACAAAGACCTATTCCATCTCTCCACCGGAGGACCTCCTTGACAATCAAAGTAGAAATAGTGGGGGGTAGTGGTGGCGGAGACAAATGTATAGAAGATCAGGCTGCTGTTGTCTAAGCAGGAAATAAGTATGTGTTCTGCTTCCAACCCAGGAAACTAAGAAAACCGTTACCACAGAGAACCAGGTGCAGAAGTAAGTGGCAGCTGAGATGTTTCTCAATGTTAACTTTTGTGTCTGATTTTACTTTTAAAATTGCACGAATACATACCTTAAAAACTTGATTAAAATACCTTGCATTATCCCACTACTTACCTCCACTGTCAGCGGAAAAAGTTCCTTTTGATTCGACTTACTCTGCATGGTTACCATTATCCACAGACTTTCTTATAATTAATTATTAAGTGGTTACAAATGTTATGCATGTTGCTTGTGTTTACAATGATATAGGAAGACATTTGGTGGTGGAAACTAAGCATGTCTATAATTTGAAAATAGCTGGCAAGCAAGAATGCTAATAATGATTAGTAGGATCGTGGATGATTTATAATCTGTAATTTAAAACCTTGTCTGTAATACGTGGTAATTGCTAGAGTATTAAATAAGAGAGGCACTTATAAGTTAACAGAAGAAATAATTTGGTGATAATCTTTCTCCCAGTAAGTGTGAATTTTAGAGTTTCTTAAACTGACTTTGTGGAACAAAAACTTTACAATGCGATTTGGGCTTTAGAAATGCAAATACACGGTCTCAAAGTCATTCACTGTCACGCCGTTGCTAGCCTTTAACGTCTGTAGGTGATGTATTTCAAGTGGATTCTAAAGTAGAAACAGGAAAAAGTGCTAAGTAATGTTGGGACTAAAGCTCAAAATTATAGCCCAAAGCCCAAAGGGAAAGAAACATTTTTGTTGCACAAAAGAAATTAGGCCCATCTTCATGCATATATAAGTAAGGTTTGTGTGTTTCATATGTACATTTATTTCTTTTAATCTCTTGAACTGAGTTCTAATCTACATTTACTGTGTAGTCTCTATCACAGGGAACACCAGACAATACAGGCACAGTGTCTTCAGAAGTGGCTTTTCATAAAATGTTGGATAGTCTTTATGAGGTGAATTTATACATTGACGTTTTATATAAATCTCAGAGAAATGTGATAGGACCTCAGCTGTTAGACCATAATAGGCTACATAGTGCCTAGGGAAGGGGCTAGAACATCTGGGCAAGTGGACAAAGAAAATCTGAGGTGTTCTAAAGCAAGGGACTTAACAAGCAAAATCATTTTTAAAGAAAGAACTTGGGGGGAAGGAGAGAGTTTGGAACAAGAGACAGAGGATCTGGAGCCCGAGAATCTAGGGTACCGTGCCCAGAACACAGGATGCTTTCAGTCCTCGCTTGCAGGCCCTCATTTTCCATATGAACACTAGTGTTCTCGCTTCAGTCCTCTGAATTCTGACTCTCCTGTCATCCAGGCTGATCTCCTTTCCCGGTGGCCAAAGAAATACTGCACTTTGGATCACAACACTCTGTGCAGCATATAGACTGTATTTTTGTTCTAGAAGCTGCAAAGATACCCAGAGTGACATGGAGTTCTTTGTTTTCCTCGACTTATGGCTAAGGTCAACCTCCCAGGTCACTTCAACATCAGTGTTAGGTAGGCAGTGGTAACAGTAGCTCTTGAAGTGAAGATAGTGCTAGAATTTTATTTAAAATCCTAATAATTTAACTGAAGTAATACTTTTTGTGAAAACAGCAGCCCAAAAAACTACAGGACGATGCTTCTTTGAAAAACCTCAGGAAATGAAAACACTTGCTGAATTAAATGCATGGTGTGATTCTATAACTAAGGCCTTTCTAGGGAATAAAGAAATTATATATATTTGAGAATACATATAAGAGACTGGAGTATGAAGAAATGTTCAAAACATGACACTTTTATACCTTTTGGATGAGTAATAGCAAGTTTGTAAGGGAGCGGATACGCTGCATTAAGTTGTAAATTCTAGGGATGTCACCAAGGGCTACGGTTGGTGGTGGGGGATGTGGCTGCTCAGGGCTACGTCAGCGAGTTTCACTGCAAGGCCATTTACCAGTCTCTGATAGCCAGCTATTTTCTGGGATTAGTATGTAAAAAGCGTTCTTCTTCGAAGAATCTTTATGGCTTGATGTATGTCTGAATAATGGGTTTTTCTCCCCCCCCCCATACCTTTTAAAGTTAAAGTCTCATATACTCCAGACCGGCCAAGGCTAGCCTAGAAGGCCTAATCCTTCTGCTTGGGATGACAGGCGTGTGCTGCCACACCTGGCTCCAAGTGACTGCGGTAACAGCAGCTGCCACCGGCTTACCATTCTGTTCTTTCCAGGTGTCACTGTCTTTGCCTCCTAAAACTAAATTTAGGCAGACAAGCTGTTCGGCACACAGCAGGCACTAAATTAGCAATAGCTCTTCAGGCTGGAGCTACTTAACTGTCCTAAACCTATTCTCTCTACAAGCGCACGTAACTCACTCTTTCCCGTGTGTGGAAAGTTACAAGTTGGGAGTGTTTTCCTCAAAGCCCCTGCTGAAAATCTATCGCCCGTCTCCTGAACCATTCCCAGGAAAATCTTGAGTGGGTGGTATGCGGAAGTCAGATTCCAAGGTGACCTAGCGCGTAAGGAGATGCTGCGCTAGCCTGCTTTCTCTACAGTGCCACACCAACGATGTGGTGCGATGATGGTGCTTCTCAGGCTTCTCTGTTGAGCTACACTGCTGCCTGGCGGTGGGCATGCCTGGCTGTACAGTGCCCTCTGGGGGTTGACTCGGGGAATCTGCAGGGTTTAGGAAGACTTCCTGGGTTACCCTGACAGATCCCACCTGGGGCACCTGCTCTAGACTGACAAGCTGGCAAGCCCTGTGTCACCTCTGTCCGACTGGACTTGTCCTGGACATTTCAGTTCAGAAGTTTGCAGGAGACAGTCACTGAAAACCTCGGTGTCGCGGCTGCAGGTAAGTGGAACGCGACACTATTTGCTTTAAAGATTCGAAGCTCACGAAGACGGCACATTAAGTTCAGTGTGACCAATGTCACTCTGCCCCCTTCGCCGAGATGTGTTTAAGTTACGGCCTAATGGCTGACAACACTCCCACAGATGCTATATACGCTCCCTTGGCTGATCTGGTGCCGCATCTTGGTTCTCAGCATGTCAGTGACTGCAGGTTATAGACGTGGCAGAATTAGCAGAGCAAGTGGCATCCATTTCTGTGTGAATAACTGGCGCTCTTTCAGTAAGGAGTAAAACTTCTAAAGGACATGTCAAAACCTAAGTGGTGCCATACATATTCAACTATTACGATGCAAAGCGTGATGCCGGATTTGGAAGAAGTGTGGGAAACGACACCTCTAGCATTTACTGATAGAGCTCCTTGAGTTTTGACAGTGAGCACACGGAAGCAGCACCACCCCGAGTGGGCTTGCTCTTCTCTCCAAACATCAGTTTGCTATATAGTCTCACCGCTTCTGGGGAAGCCTTCCTGGAAGGGCTTACAACCTTGCTCAATTGGCTGATGTGACGCCTCAAAGCTGGATGTGCAGCCAAAGGTAAAGATTTTGGAGCCCTTGTACACATGCCCATGCTTGCTGGAACACCAGAAATGGTGAGACCAGGAAGGTGGTGGCATAGGGTTAAAGAGGAACAATGAACAGCACACACAGGACCCAGGGAGTCCAGGACACTGCTTCCTGGTGGAGCCAGGCTGGATTTCTGTGTTCTGACCAGTGTAGCTAGAGTTTAAAGACTCACTAGATCCATGCAGATCCACGGCCCAGACTCAAGAGGCTCTAGGCTGCCAGGGCTAAGGGAGCAATTAGCATAACGACAGAGACAGAACCGACGGACAGTCACGAGGTGTGAGCAAGTAGGACAGATTGGTGAGTTACCCACCACAGCTTCATCAGACCTTGGGTACCTATACTTGGCCTGGGCTTCTTGGTCC